TTTCCCCATAAGAAATAATGGAAATAAAATTAATCCGTGCAAGACACCCAAAAGTATGAAAAAAAAAATTTTTTACCACAAAAAAAATGTTAATTTTAGTACACACAAACTGAAAAAGGCATGCACAATTACATGACACTTACTTTTATTGAAGATCTGGTGATGATTGATGGGATGGGAGGAGGGGAGAGGAGTGTTAGTGTTTAGAAGGGAATCCCCTTCCATTAACACTTGAGGAGGCAAGTCCTTTTCCGGGGTTACTTCCTTCTTCTTTTAATGCCACTAGGACCAGCTTCAGAGTCACTGGACTTCTTTCTGTCCATAGAGCTCTGTACCTCCCGTTCCTTTACGATTTGTTCTAAAATAGGCCATAACATTGTCATTGAAATAGTCACCAGCACGCCTTGCAAACAGCTGTGTCAGGGTGATTTTCATCCATAAAGGTTTGCAGTTCAACCCACTGTGCACACATTTCCTTAATTTTTGAAGTAGGCACAATGGATTCCACAACTGGCATAGGCTTCTCAGGGTTAGCCCCAACCTTCAAAATCTTTCTTAATTTCCATACTAATTCTCACCTTTTTACCACAGGGTTGGCACTAGAAGCTTTCTTGGGGCCCATGGTCACTTATTTTCAACAAACAGAACCGAAAACACTGTAATAATACGAAATATTCCGAGTGTATGCTTGAATGTTACCGCGGAGGCTAGCTGGTAAACAATGGGACAGGCGGCACATGTAAGGCTGGCTGAGGCCGCACATTGGACGCGTCTCGGACGAAGTTCGCTGAGCGGGTTTTTGTCTACTATGCGGGGCAAAATTTTAGCGATCAAAGCGTTCGCTATGCGGAATGTTCGCTATGCAAGGCGTTCGCTATGCGGGGGTCCACTGTATATATGTGAACAGTATTTAGATAAAGGTAGGGAAGTTTTTATTGCATTTATGGATTTAGAAAAGGCATATGATAGAGTGGATAAAGGAGCAATGTGGCAGATGTTGCAAGTACAGTGGACCCCCAGTTTACGATATTATTTCATTCCAGAAGTATGTTCAGGTGCCAGTACTGAACGAATTTGTTCCCATAAGGAATATTGTGAAGTAGATTAGTCTATTTCAGACCCCCAAACATACATGTACAAACGCACTTACATAAATACGCTTACGTAATGGTCGCATTGGGAGCTGATCGTAAAGCGGGGGTCCACTGTATATGGAATAGGTGGTAAGTTACTAAATGCTGTAAAGAGTTTTTATGATGATAGGGAGGCTCAGGTTAGGGTGTGTAGAAGAGAGGGAGACTATTTCCCAGTAAAAGTAGGTCTTAGGGATGTATAATGTCACCATGGTTGTTTAATATATTTATAGATGGGGTTGTAAAAGAAGTAAATGCTAGGGTGTTCGGGAGAGGGTTGGGATTAAATTATGGGGAATCAAATACAAAATGGGAATTGACACAGATACTTTTTGCTGATGATACTGTGCTTATGGGAGATTCTAAAGAAAAATTGCAAAGGTTAGTGGACAAATTTGGGAGTGTGTGTAATGGTAGAAAGTTGAAAGTGAACATAGACAAGAGTAAGGTGATGAGGGTATCAAATGATTTAGATAAAGAAAAATTGGATATCAAATTGGGGAGGAGGAGTATGGAAGAAGTGAATGTTTTCAGATATTTGGGAGTTGACATGTCAGCAGATGGATTTATGAAGGATGAGGTTAATCATAGAATTGATGAAGGAAAAAAGGTGAGTGGTGCATTGAGGTATATGTGGAGACAAAAAATGTTATCTATGGAGACAAAGAAGGGAATGTATGAAAGTATAGTAGTACCAACACTCTTATATGGGTGTGAAGCTTGGGTTGTAAATGCTGCAGCGAGGAGGCGGTTGGAGGCAGTGGAGATGTCCTGTCTAAGGGCAATGTGTGGTGTAAATATTATGCAGAAAATTCAGAGCGTGGAAATTAGGAGAAGGTGTGGAGTTAATAAAAGTATTAGTCAGAGGGATGAAGAGGGGTTGTTGAGGTGGTTTGGTCATTTAGAGAGAATGGATCAAAGTAGAATGACATGGAGAGCGTATAAATCTGTAGGGGAAGGAAGGCGGGGTAGGGGTCGTCCTCAAAAAGTTTGGAGGGAGGGGGTAAAGGAGGTTTTGTGAGCGAGGGGCTTGGACTTCCAGCAAGCGTGCGTGAGCGTGTTAGATAGGAGTGAATGGAGACGAATGGTATTTGGGACCTGATGAGCTGTTGGAGTGTGAGCAGGGTAATATTTAGTGAAGGGATTCAGGGAAACCGGTTATTTTCATATAGCCAGACTTGAGTCCTGGAAATGGGAAGTACAATGCCTGCACTTTAAAGGAGGGGTTTGGGATATTGGCAGTTTGGAGGGATATGTTGTGTATCTTTATACGTATATACGTACTTCTAAACTGTTGTATTCTGAGCACCTCTGCAAAAACAGTGATTATGTGTGAGTGAGGTGAAAGTGTTGAATGATGATGAAAGTACACCTACCATCCGACTTACGACCAAGTTCGGTTCTGAGAAACCGGTCGTAAGTCGAAATGGTCATAAGTCGAACTTTACTACTGAATATCAACAAAACATTTTTGTAATGACTTTATTTTATTGTTTTATTTTGGTATTTCACGTTTTACTTTACTTTTTATGCTGTTAGTACTGTATTTTATACTGTAAGGTTTAGGAGAAACACTTTGTACAACACAAATAGTCGTTTATTTCCCAGAAATTTGGCATAAAAAACACGGTCGTAAGTCAGATGGTAGGTGTATTTTCTTTTTGGGATTTTTTTTCTTTTTGGGTCACCCTGCCTCGGTGGGAGACGGCCGACTTGTTAAAAAAAATAATAATAATAATAATCACCGAGTCTCATTAAATGTCGTATATTACGTTAATATACATATTTTCATTAATCCATCTATGATATTTTTTCAAAATTATATAATAAACATGATACATAACATATAAAGATGATAAATACACTCCACAGTAGAATAAATAAACATAAATATGAGATGTGGGAGCCAGACTTCTACGATTGACGCCATATTAGTATTAATACGAAATAATAATCACCTAATCTCATTAAATGTCGTATATTACGTTAATACTGTACACACGTTTTCATTAATCCATCTATGATATTTTTTTCAAAATTATATAATAAACATGATACATAACATATAAAGATGATAAATACACCCCAAAGTAGAATAAATAAACATAAATACGAGATGTGGTAGCCAGACTTCTACGAGTGACAGCAAGAATGACATTTTCTCTAGTCCAACATCAGAGAAAATGTGTTACTGGGAGTAACTGTAGAAAATTATTCCTTTCGTATGTAAGTTTATGCAGGTATACAAAAACACAGTTACATAAATTATCACACATAGCAGCATATGTGTAAAGTACCTAGGATAACCCAGAAAAGTCAGAGTGGCTGATTTCCATTGCCTTCACTCAGAGTGTCATTTCTTTTAAAAATGGTGTTACATGAGAATGGGAGTGTTCCTCTTCATTTATTCTACCGTATCAATGTAGAGACAACTTGTACACAATGTAATTTGCACACAAACCAAACATGTATGCCTGGCTTGTTTACAAAACTTGCGTTCGCATGGTTTGTTTACATAACTCTGCGCCTGTCCTCTCTCATGTACTCATTCTCTCTCTCTCTCTCTCTCTCTCTCTCATTTATTCGTTTTATCTCGTTTACACACCCCTGACCCTACATTAAGAATACAAATATTTTAAGTTAAGTAATGAGTGAACTGTATATGCATTTTATTGCTCTGGGATGCTTAAATGTAATAGAATATTATGTGTAGGTGGGGTGGCCTGGTATGGTAGCCCGGCTGGTTACCATACATACCACACTTGATTTCGTACAATAAATACTACTTGTCTCACCCTAGATTAAGACTACAAATATTTTAAGGTAAGTAATGAGTGCACTATGTGTGTATTTTACTTTTTTTTGTTTTTTTAATACCTAGTTCTATTGCTAAATTAATATATGTTAGTGTACACCTGTTATCTGGTATTTGTATGCATTTATAAGGGAAAAAAAAGGGTGTTCCACTTTACAACGATTTCCACTTAACGGCGGTAGCCTGGAACCTAACCTGCCATATAAGTGGGGCCCTACTGTATATGGAAATGGTTTTACACATGCAAAATTAAGTATGTTAAGTAAACCCTCATTTTCATGGACCCCAATTTAATAGACTTCAGAAATATGGGACAAAATCCATTGGGTCAATTGATTCACAAACAATGGACAAAGTACTTTATGTTGGTTAGAGAATTATTTATTGCTCTTACAGTCAGGGCAAAACAATTGCATTTCTATCCACTACAATCACTATTGTCTGCCACCCACCTCAACTATTATTCCTTTAAATCCAGGGTTTATTCTATTCACATATGTGCATAAGATGAAAGTTATACACAGTATGATGCTCCATGAGGACAAATTTAGTTACTCGTACAGAAAAATCAAGGAAATAAAACAAACGAGAATAAAGAAAATTAAACCAATCAACAGAGTGGAAGATTAATGTAAGGAGTTAGAGTGAGACTATCTTATCTTACTCTCAAAAATCATAACAGCTGTACTATCATAATCACAAATATAATATACTTTTTATAGACTGAAGTATTGCTGTATGCTAACAGCCCCTGCTAAGGCAGGTTAAATCATAGAACCGGAGAATGTAGAGAGAACCTGTACAAATTCAGTCAAGCATCTGAATTATTGGGAATGCCTGAAGTCCCTTGAACTATACTTTCTGGAATGTAGGCAAGAAAAATACAGTACATCCTAAATTACCCCTGGAAAATTCTGCAAGGATTGATTCCAAAGGTACAATGAAAGTACTCCCTGTGAGAGCGAGAGGCTCAGCAGAAGGTACAAAGTATCTCAAGTAGCATGCACACATACCAGGATGACCTCATCTCATCACACAGCAACTGCACTTACTTTATGCTCGTCAACTTTAGTCAAACTGAGATTCCTCCTGTGCTTTGGTGCCCACTTGCTGATGGAGGCTGTGATATCCAGCTTCTTGTTAATAACAACGTCACCACCACCTGATTCTCCACCCAGTTCGACAGTGAAGGCCATGGGCGAGGGTTTCTTAGTTTCCACAGCCACATTTACATTTTGTTTCTCCACCCCATCTTTTGCTTCCCCACTGGTTAAGTTGTGATGACCTCTCTCTAAGATGATAGAGGAAGTGTTGGTGGGTGGTGTGGAGGTGACCAGCGCCTTCCCAGGCTCATCACTGATGCGTATTTTACAATCTGTATCTGAAAGCATAGAAATTTACTTCATTTTGAGCAACATTAGTATTAGTGAAATAATTTAATAAAACTCTACACAGAATGAAACACTGTCACAATATTAGCTTATTCTGCACTCTGCCTTTTATTCATTAATACAAAAATACAAATACAGTGGACCCTCAGTTAACGACGTCATCGGATAACATAAAAATTGGATAACGACACATTTTTGTGTCAAAATATTGGCTCAGTTAATGACAAAAAACTCGGTTAAAGTCATGTGTCCTGTGGCCTGGCCACTCCATGTACAGCCAATGTGCCATTGTTTACAAGCCAGTGAGGATGATTCCACGCGTACATGCGATACACTTTGTATTATTCCATTGTTTTTAGTGCTTGTAACTGCTAAATAAGTCACCCTGGGCCCAAAGAAAGCTTCTAGCGCCAGCCACCCCTTTGGTAAAGGGCTGAGAGGGGAGAATGTGCCTTTTTCAGTGATTCTGCAATATGTATGATACTAAAGCAGCAGGAGTCTATAAAGGCTATAGCGGCAGCCAGCGATAAAGTGTAGCATTAACTGTAGCAAATAAGTTAAGCGATTAATCGACAGAAAAAGGACAGCACGAATTTAACTCCTCCAATGCTGTTGGAGTTATGTAGGGCGACTGACAACACCACCGTCTCTACCGCCTCTGCTGCTGCCTGCACCACCACTATGTACAGCTTATGCTCTCAGTGGCCCTTATGCACCCAACAACAACAACAACACAGCAACACTTGTGACATACATGTACTTAATGACATTTTATTCATTCTAGAGTATCTGTCATGTTTCTATGTTATTAACATGGTTTATTATGTCATATTAGATGAATTGTGCTAGAAAAATAAGCCGTAGAGCTGATATTAGTATCACATTGAAGGACAATCTTGTGTCACCCAACACAATTCCTAACATACGCCAGAAATGGACTTCTCTGGAAAACTTTTTTGAGCGACAGGGGTCCAGTGGCTCTCAAGCTGGTCCTAGTGGCATTAAAAAATAAAGGAGGGAAGTAACCCTGGATAAGTACTTGGTACCTGAAGTCTTCATGGAGTGGGATTCCCCTTCCAAACAATTGTAAACTCCTCCATCCTCTCCCCTCCTCCCGTCTTCCATACATTACCATGTCTTCAACAAAGGTAAGTGTGATGTTATTATCGTTTTATTCTTCGCGCATCATTGTTTTCTGTGTAGGGAAATGTATATTTCATGTAAAAAAAAATTTTTGTTTAATACTTTTGGGTATCTGAAACGGATTAATTGGATTTCCATTATTTCTTATGGGGAAAATTAATTCAGATAACGACAGAATCGGTTAAAGACAAGCTCTCTGGAATGGATTAATGTCGTTAACTGAGAGTCCACTGTACAGTATTATAGTGACAATGACACTATAAATAACATTTAAAAGGTTATTTAAATTTGGCTGATTATCTTATTTTAATTTGTCTTCACATCTCTCACTCTATTTCCACTTGCTGGAGTGCCGAACTGAAGGAGTAATCAAAGGAGAATGTAAAAATAACAGCCAGGCTTGGCTCTGGATAAATGGTTCCAGGCCATTTTGGACAATACATGCACATTTAAGTCTCTCACATCAAAACTGCTGAGCTACTTTAGAGTCTGGGAACATCCTCTGAAATACTGTAACCTCATCACTTGATTTACAAGAGGAGCTAGAATAATGGTACATGACAATTTTTTATAGAACAGATAATTTCTACCTCAAGAATTTCCTCTTTACCAACAAAAAAAAAAAAAGACCTCATGCCAGTATGGGTTTGTGTATGGGAGGCAGAGGCAAACACTGATGCAATGGCCAATACATGCTCATTTTCTGCTAGTAGATGAGGAACTACAAGATTTACATCAGAACAATTACAGTGGTACCTCGGGATACGAATTTATTTCGCTCAAGAAGGCTGTTCGAGTGCCGATACCAAACGAATTTGTTCCCTTAAGAAATATTGTAAATTAGATTAATCCGTTTCAGACCCCCAAAAATGCACTTACAAAAGCACTTACATAACTGTTCAAGTTTTGAGCTGTTCGTATCCTGAGGTACCACTGTACTTCTTAAATTGAAGCTTGAGAAAGTGGTGTGGATTTCATGAATCTCTGGATGGACTCCAGATTATTTTTTCATAGTCACTACTACTTTCTTATGCTTAACCCTTGGTAAGGGACTTCAGGGCCCTTTTTTTTTTTAATTTGTGCTAAGTTCACAGTCATTACCACACAGAAAACATCTTGCTTTCTTCATATCAGAACCTAATATATGTTAACTAGCCAGGATCCTTCAGTTATTCTATATTAAAGGTTGTTTGTCTACTCATATTAACATTAAGGCTTCTAATATAACATGCACATCACCACCACCCTGCAGAATAAAAAGAAGCATCAATTTAGAGAATAGCTCCAGTCTACTAAGATAATGCAGTAGTTAACCTGATGTCCCAGGGGCATCATCAAGGACAGAGGATTATGACAAGAAAAATCTAAAGAAAAATCCTAAGTAGTTAATTTACCAATTATACATTAAGTTCTCTATTTCACAAAGTAAGACCAGCACTGATTAGTCAGTTTTTCCCAGACAAAACTCAGTATTCCCTGATAAATTTCAAAATTAATAAAATTTCCCCAACCTTGAAAACTGAACCACTCTTCTTGACTTTTCCCTGATGTGTGGCAACCTGAAAAAGCTTATTCCACTATTCTCAAAAGGACAGATAGTCTCTCCCACCTGGCAGGAACTATGCTAAGTTAGTTCTGAATCATGATACAGCAGGAAAATATGCTTTAATATCTGTAGCTGTATAAGAATTGCTTTGAAAATATACATTTTTAGGTAAACAGGCCTTCAAGAATGCCTGAGCGCACGCACGCACACACGCATGCGCACACACACACACACACACACACACACACACACACACACACACACACACACACACACACACACACACACACACACACACACAGATGATGTGAAGTTAATGAGGAGAATTAAATTGGATGAGGATCAGGTAGGACTTCAAAGAGACCCGGACAGGCTGGACACCTGGTCCAGCAACTGGCATCTCGAATTTAACCCCGCCAAATGCAAAGTCATGAAGATCGGGGAAGGGCAAAGAAGACTGCAGACGGAGTATAGGCTAGGTGGCCAAAGACTGCAAACCTCACTCAAGGAGAAAGATCTTGGGGTGAGTATAACACTGAGCATGTCTCCGGAAGCACACATCAACCAGTTAACTGCTGCAACATATGGGCGCCTGGCAAACCTGAGAATAGCATTCCAATACCTTAGTAAGAAATTGTTCAAGACACTGTACACCATGTACACCAGGCCCATACTGAAGTATGCAGCACCAGTTTGGAACCCACACCGGGTCAAGCATGTCAAGAAATTAGAGAAAGTGCAAAGGTTTGTATTAAGGTTAGTTCCAGAGCTAATGGGAAGGTTCTATAAAGAAAGGTTAAGGGAAATCGGCCTGACGACACTGAAGGACAGGAGGGTTAGGGGAGACATAATAATGACATACAAAATACTGCATGGAATAGACAAGGTGGACAGAGACAGGATGTTCCTGAGAGGGGACACAGAAACAAAGGGTCACACTTGGAAGTTGAAAACTCAGATGAGTAAAAGGGATGTTAGGAATTATTTCTTCAGTCATAGAGTGGTCAGGAAGTGTAACAGTTTGGTGAGTGATGTAGTGGAGGCAGGAACCATACATAGCTTTAAGACGAGGTATGACAAAGCTCATGGAGCAAGGAGAGAGAGGACCTAGTAACGTTCAGTGAAGAGGCAGGGCCAGGAGCTGAGTATCGACTCCTGCAACCACAATTAGGCGAGTACACACACACACACATTGGGAGAACTTGGAGCCACATGGGGGCCAAGATACATGGAGGGCTAAGATAATGGAGGTGGTACTGGAAAATTTCATGTACCAACAAGTAAGGGACACTACAAGAGAGAGAGGAGAGGATGAACCAGCAAGACTGGACTTAGTATTCACCTTGAGTAGTGCAGACATCGAGGACATCACATATGAAAGACCCCTTGGGGCCAGCGATCATGTGGTTTTAAGCTTCAAATACACAGTAGAGCTACAAGTGGAGGGAGAAGCAGGAAGGCCAGGACGAATGAAGCCAAACTACAAGAAAGGGGACTACACGGGAATGAGGAACTTCCTGAATGGGGTTCAGTGGGACAGAGAACTGGCAGGGAAGCCAGTTAATGAGATGATGGAATATGTAGCAAAAATATACAAGGAGGCTGAGGAGAGGTTTGTACCCAAGGGTAATAGGAATAATGAAAAAGCCAGGATGAGCCCATGGTTCACCCAAAGGTGCAGGGAGGCAAAAACCAAGTGTGCTAGGGAATGGAAGAAATATAGAAGGCAAAGGACCCAGGAGAATAAGGAGAGCAGTCGTAGAGCCAGAAACGAATATGCACATATAAGAAGGGTGGTCCAAAGACAATATGAAAACGACATAGTAGCGAAAGCCAAATCTGATCCGAAGCTGTTATACAGCCACATCAGGAGGAAAACAACAGTCAAGGACCAGGTAATCAGGCTAAGGAAGGAAGGAGTAGACACAACAAGAAATGACTGTGAAGTATGTGAGGAACTCAACAAGAGATTCAAAGAAGTGTTCACAGAGGAGACAGAAGGGGCTCCAGAAAGACGGAGAGGTGAGGCACACCACCAAGTGCTGGACACAGTGCACACAACCGAGGAAGAAGTGAAGAGGCTTCTGAGTGAGCTAGATACCTCAAAGGCAATGGGGCCAGATAACATCTCCCCATGGGTCCTGAGAGAGGGAGCAGAGGCACTATGTGTACCCCTAACAACAATATTCAATACATCTATTGAAACAGGGAGATTGCCTGAGGTATGGAAGACAGCAAATGTAGTCCCAATCTTTAAAAAAGGAGACAGACATGAAGCACTAAACTACAGACCAGTGTCAC